TTTCCCTAACCTAATAGGAATTAGATTTATACAATATAGTGCCATTTTACACTTCACCAGACAGGACGGAATAGCACGTAGACTATCAGCATTTTAATGCCACTGTGACAAGATATTCAGCAAAGTTCATCAAGTGCTTCAAAGTTCAACAAATCTGATAAAGCTTGGAGAATTTAGACTCTGATTTTCAACTAAATGGAACCCTGTTCTTCTAAGAAAACTGCTAGCTTCTCAGATCATAGGCTAGATGTTCTTCTGGTCTTGATTCCACCATGTTGAGGAGATGACCCGCTATTAGGTGAGCAGTAAGCTGTAAAACAGCATATGGCTAATTAACTGACTCAATCTTTGAGGGGATTGCAAACAATAACCTCATTCGCAGGTGCCAGTTTCTTGTGCTGTCTTTCTCCTAAGATTAAACAGCTCTCCTGGTGGATACTATTCCACCTGGGTGTAATGAAGCTTCTCAGGAGAAGCAAATAAGAAGGCTAAAAATAACAGAGCTAAGGGAGACTAATATTACCTGGGGAATGCTTCAACCCAGATTGAATTTATCTGAGTCTTGTTTTCCAGAACTAAACTCAAAATCTTTGTGAATGCTAAAATCTTAAAAGAGAAGTCAGCAAATTAAAATCAGCACCCCATTACAGACATTTTGATGGCACAGCGTTGAGAAAAAAATGCACAATATAACGTAAGGATAAATAGGCCAAATACTGAAGACTGCAAGAAAGTATTATGACTTTAAGTAAGGGAAGCTATAAACACAGAGGAAAAAACGCTTAGATACCTACCCAAAATAACGGTACTGAAAGAGACCACTTCTTTGTCCTTGCCATCGTTGTAAAATGCCAGGTGCCACAAACCCACATCCAAGTATTGAACAAACACAGCCTCATTCTGAACGAGGGTCTGAATACTTCGACGTTCCCGTGGGGACTCCACCACACTCCATTTCTCTTTCCCATCCAAGCGTTCCATGAAATCATACTGCAGGGTAAAAAAACAGGAAAAAAAAAGGAAAAAAAAAACCCGAAAACAAAACCAAAAAACCCCCAACACGACCAAACCCCCAAACAAACAGACCTGAATACAGAATGATATTTCAGCTCAAAATCTGACAGTATATTTTCTCTTCTACCTTGGCATAAAATGGTAGTTCTGGAAGATATGTCAATGTGAAACTAATATTTACTAGCGGACCATGGAAAACACAGAGATTCTGTGATTCTCATCCTTTCTTAAACAGTGACATAGAATTATGCATCTTTGCATAGGTGATCAAAAAATGTACAAATGGTATTTCTTGACAGGCTGGGATTTGGGAAAGAAGTTGAAATTAATGATTTGACCCATCAGATTTTAGGTTCCTACACAGCTTTCAAAGCTGGAAACCTTCAACCTATGAGAGACATGCCCTTTCCTAAGCAATCACCTACAATAAATTCTTGCTGCAAGAGGAACAGGAGTCAGATGCAGCTCCAGACATATAATTGAACGGAAACCCCCGGAATGTGAAAACAAACAGGAACAGCACAAACACTAATGTTAGGTAACTCAGCACCCAATAAAAATACACCGTACAAGTTTTACATCACAGAGTAAGAGTTGCTTACCTGAGTTTGCATGTGGAACAATCAGGGGCAAGTAGGATACAAAACCCAGAGGGAGCATGGAAAGGAATAACACAAATCAAGTGGCTGAAGGAATTGAAGTTATATTAAGGAAAACTGAGACTTTCTGGTTGGATGGTTTCCAAGTAAGGTAGAACATTACATTAATCTTTGGAAAAGGGATCAAACAGAGCAAGTGATTATTTAGAGTATAAGAGGGATGGCACCATTAATGGCATGAAACTAAAAAAAGAAAGAAAGAAATTTAAGATGAATGTCAGATAAGCTTCCCATCTATTAAGCTCAGTAATAGCCTCCCAATGGAGATGCCACTGCATCACACAATTAAACAGGACTGGAAGAAATATTGGTTAATCTACAACAGGGAATAACTCTGCATAACAAAGCAGCTGGACTAGCTGTCCTAATAGTTTTTTTTTTTTTTTCCTCTCTTTAATGCCTGTGATTCTAGAGCTCTCAAGCTGATGCAATGCTCAACTTACTAGCTCTCATAGTCCCTATCTAAGGGAAGCCCTTAAGAAACAACAAAACCAATATATCTAATCTTTTGATAGTTGTATAACAAGTCCCCTATGAAAACACATCTTGTTTTAGACACATTTATCTATGTAGGAGTAGATAGATAGACATGTCTAAAGAAAGATGTGTATGTTCAATAAAATACAGTAACAGTATGTGCTTGCTTGCCAGTAGTTTCATTGCATTTCCCTCCGTTATCTCTAGCACGTACAGTCTGTGCTTGCGACAGCTCTGAGAAAACATACACCTTCACTTGCTTTCAGTTTAAATAGAAAACTGTAATCTTGCATCCTAAACAGACCAAACACCCAGAGAGGGCTGTCTTTTACCCTGTATTCCACTCATTAACAGTGAGTTTTAGCAAATAATAAACAACATGCGATAAAGAAGATTCTCTCTTCTAGTAAAAGAGACAGACAGATGGACTGATTTAACACTTTTAGTGCCATGCTACACATCTACCTAAAACTGGGGTATAAAAGCTGACCTTTCTATTTGAAATTTTGTCACAGTTCTATATGAGGAATATAGAGTCCTTGACATAGCCCTACAACAAAGGGAAAAGTATGGAAGTACTATTACCTTCCTGTTAAACATGTGGAACTATGACACCAATACGCAGCCACAAAGGAATCCATGGCAGGGAAGGAATTTGAGCCCAGGTCTACTAATGTTGAAAGCTACTGTCACAGCAAGTGCATTATCCATTCTTTCCTCTGCTTTTAATTGCGGGAAAGTGTAGAAGTGGAATAAAAAGTTTAACCAAACTGTTAATATCAGACTGCCATCCACTTGAGCCTTTTTTTCACACAGGATTTTTGCAGGAGAAGGTAAATTAGTACATTTAAGCCAACGCACACCAGAGTTTTAGAGAATTCTGGCATGTCAGTAACTCTCAGAGTACCAGAGGTGCCGAACACACATATATCCAGTTCTTAAATCAATGACATTTGGAAATATCGCTAAAACCTATTGTCTAACAGTCAGAGGTTAAGGACAGACTCATCACCTCCTTGGGAAATGTTATTACTCGGGCAACATCTTGGGAAAAAGAAATCTTGAACAATCGTTCACAAAGGGTCAGCTAAGGAAGTAGCAATAAAAGCTGACATTTCTCACTGGCAACATGCTGTTCATCTCTGCTTGTGCTGGCAGGTTCCTCTGCCTCCCCTCTGTTTGATGCTGATTCTACCTCATATAGTAGAGAAGGCTCAGCAGTTGGCAAGATCGAAGGGGAAGAGTATTCAAGCTGAAACTGCTTGAAGTAGTTTTAGCTGCAGAACCTCTTTTCACAATGATGGGGTGTGACCTAGTGGGAGCAGGTCCCTTGGCATGACTCCCCATAAGGCTACAATTTTAACTTCAGTAAAGTTAAGGCTGGTATTGCCCCTCTTTAATCAAACTATGAAGAATTATTGCGTCCTCAGGAAAAAGCAAAATTACTAAACCTGAGTAACTTCATGAACCATGAAGTACCAGTGCAAACTGACACAGAATATAACAATAAATTTTTATTCCTTTTTGGATTCCTCAGGACTGAGGAAAAAAGAAGGAAGAGAATGTATCTGCTGGTGGTTCCACGGGTGTACAAATCTTAATGTGCCAGCAAGTACTAGGTATATGTACCCCAAAATCTACAATCCCTGACTGAAGGGTCACCAAGATGGTACTGTGAATTCATAACCAGGTAAGATTTCTTCACATGGTTTGCTGAATCATCATTTTGCTTCTTGTGGCCCAGTGGATTATTCAATTTACCACACTTGGGTGATTAATTACTTTTATATAACGGTGTGCTGAAGATATCACTCTTACATTAAGCTACTTGTTGACAAATATGCATAGATTAAGAGGCCCATCTAGGAAAAGAACGAAAGTGCTTTCATGATCATTATGAAGCAACTGTGGAATTTTTAATCTAACACACACAACTGCTAAGGACTGCTAAAAGACAACTAAATGACATGAATTAGGGAATGGATCTGTCAAACCAAACTAAATCTCTGAAGTAATTTTGAAGTTTCACTGACTTTTTTTTTTTATGATCCTTTAAATTTCATGCTTTCGTACTGAAAGTCACACAAAAATGGCAAAAACTGCTCAGGAACAAAATGCACCAGAAATCCCAAATGACTGCATCTTCAGAGTTCAATTTTGCGGGGTGAGTACTTATTATGATTAAAGTTCCATATAAGCAAGTGACTTGCCAGCCTACTCCTCTAAACAAATTCCAAATTCACATTCTCAGTGAGTTTGTTTATTTTTACTACACAGCATACCGAAACCCTACTGCACACTTTTATTTACAAACCTAAATCTCACACTAAGTTCTTTCTGGGCAATTTGTTTTTATAATTTCTCCATTCAGAGCTTTCTATCCTCCTCTGATGCATTTTATTCATAGGCTAATAAGGACTTCCCTTTTCCAGTAACCATGGGGAGTCAGCAAAACAGTGTTGGACCTTTACGTATACAGTAGTGACCGCTCTGCACAATGCCATCCATATAGCCCAGAGCGACCAAGCCCAGTTACAGACAGGAAGGGAATTAGTTGTGAAAGCATGGCCAAGACTGAAAACTCAGATAGCCTGCATAATCTTTGTTTTTCTCTTAGATTTGAAACTATTTGCATGCGTCCACAAAATCCCTAACAGTGTTTGAAATTAGGGATTGAAAGAAAGATTTCTTAGAGCTTTTGTCTCAATAATGGATGCATATTGAAATGGGAGAGGGGAGGGAAAAAAAAACCACGTTTGGCGTTGTGGCTATCATTCGTCTTTATGCCAAAGCCCTGTAACACCTAAGCAGCCAAGAAAACATATGTCAGGGAAACTTGTTTGCAAAGTGCTTGAAAATTAGTTCTTCATAAAATCCAGTTGGTAATTATTCATTAAAATACACCCATGAAACATCTGATACCCACAGTGACAGCCAACCAATTTGTTTCTCCATTTGAATGTGACACAACACAACCAGTACAATGCAGCACAGCATTCAGTAATAACAGCACAGTTGCTGTCAGTTAACTTAAAGGTGGTCAGAGCACCTACCTGTGTTTGAGCACTGGCTAAAAACCAAGGTAACACTGCAGCTCCCCAGCTATTCAAGTTGTTTCAAATAAAGCCATTTTCTATTCTAAATGAAAACAGTTTTCTTTTTGACATTAAAAATTTGTAAGTATGAAACACTCTGCTGGAAATGAAAACAATACAACTCCATGCACTGCCTTCTCCAGACATTACAGTGATGTTTCTATAAGGTTACCTTATTTCATGCGTCATTTGGAATGTTCTACCAACGTGTAGTAACATCATAATTGCTGTAATCTCTGTAGAGTCACTTCATGCATTATTTGACATTTGCAGTTCATTTTCTATACATTATCAATTTTATTAATATGACTATCATCTACTAATTTCCTATTGATCATTCAAGCCTGCAATGTGTATTTTGTTATTTCCACGTAGTACTACACAGGTTGGAAGAATTTTGCTTGAAAGCAATGCATTCCTGTTTCTAGTCTGCCTTCCACTCAAAATTGCATTTTCCCCTCTCCTCTAGAGCTCCATTCCCTATGCACATGGCGCACAAGGCTGCTTCTATACAAGTTTACAGCTACATCAGTTTGACTGACTAAACCAGGCACTGGAATATTTGCTAAAGAGTAATACTGAGAAGGTTAAATCTCAGCAGGGCTCTCAGACAGGAACTGCATCTTGTTGTCTCAGGTTAATCATGTACCTAATTTGCTGATTATTGACTTGCTCCCACAAAGGATTTTACTTGGCTTGACATATCAGCACCGATCAGTGATGAACTGTCAAGTGTAGTTGTTCACTGCTTTACAGCTCATGTCCCTAACCTGCAGAAACAAGGATTTTAAATTTCAATTTTAAAATATCGTCTGGTGTCAACTTCAGACTATTTTCATTAATACAAAACCATTCTGCTCCTTTCTGTCAGAACAAGGCTTCTTTTCACTAACTCAGGTCTGTAACAGCTTGCCTTTCTTTTTCTAAAATTATTTCTCTTGGTACCAGCTTGGCTGAATTTTGATTGCTGGGCAACAATGCCAAGCAATCTTCTGCTGTACCACCCTGTTGACAAGCACCAGGACCCTGCATGAATATGGGAAAGTAATTCTGCAGATTATGCCGGTGGATTTCATTAACTCCAGTTATGGAAGAGGGTTGGAGTTGCTTCCTTTAAAGACTGGAAAACAGGTTCTCTGAGGAGGAATCCAGATCAGTAAGAAACACAGTTGATGTTTCTCATTATTTAATTTAAACAGAAAGGTCACAAAATTTATATCCTATCCATGTAAGGTGGAGTGAAAGAAAGAAGAGAAACTTTGCCTGATCATAGCCTTCTCACATGAGAGCATCATAATGAAACTTAGAACAAATATATTTGATCACAGTGCGATAGAAATTAAACTTCGGCTTGAATTAAAAAATATATTTTGTACTACCAGTTACATCCAACTGGATTTCTTGTAAAAGATACAGGCATACCTCCATCACGTCTTAGTGAAACAATTATAATTAACTCATATTTACAGCAAACCTTGACAATAGCTTAAGGAGCTCTGGTTGCCCCAAGCCATTTTCACTTCATGATTTATACTTTTGTTTGTTTTCCTCAACTAAATTGCTGGGTTTTTTTCATGGTGGAATGATAGGGGAAGTGAGTGCCAAAATTCTAAATCAAATCAGACATGCTCAATGAGTTATACCATTACCTCACTGCAACAGTTAAAGATCTGTAGACATAATTTCACCCTCATAATTTCACCTTCCTATTGAAGCAATACAGCCAAAATCAAAACATTCTTAAGGCAGGCTTCCACCCTGGAACATATTCTCTGTAGATATCTTCTGTGTTGCATGGATATCTGACATGGGTTGAAAATTAGTCAACAGCCCTCTACAATTTTCCCACTTTATCTAGTCTTTGTATGGAACTTCAGGATGCTGTCTGCTAACCTGTAGCTATATGGGAAACTGACCTCTTGCCTTTCCCTCCTTGGGTTGTGGACTGCTGATCCTTATTTCTTACCAGTCGGATAGATCCATTCAATAACTCACAAAACATTTTAGAACAGCATACTACAGGAAGTTGATGGAGTTTGGATAGTCAAAGCTCCTTGTTCACAAATTCGTAGAAGTAGAGGTCATAAACCCACGTAAACCTCTTATCACCTTTCCCTCCCAACTCTGTTTAAAGATTTTGGTTCTCAATTCAGATTATAGGCGATAATCAACACCAAAGAACAAGAGGCAATGCAGAGTATTTCTATAAATTTGCTTCGCATTGGTAAGCAGATCCAAAATGCAGTTAATATAAGTGCAGTTTTCCCTAGAAAATGAACTGGTTCACTGTTTGTACCATGAGTTTGTACATGTACATGGACACAGTTCACTTAGGGCTGATACCTCCTTGCAGGCAATATGTAGCAATGCAATTATGTTAAAGCCTCTGGGCTTTTAGCTTAGATCATGCAGTTTAACCATTTATGTAATTGCAGTCTGCTTTGACAAATTAAAAAAAAAAAAAAGTAGTAGCAGTTCTTTGCAAATCAGAGCAAGGCATCTAGAAATGTTAAACAGGGCTTTCCCAAAAGGGATCATGGAGTTCTGCATTTGCTTTTTTGAAATCATATACTAAATAAAGCATTTTAATTTTACAAGATAATTTCTGAATGAAGAACCGATTTTTAGCAGCAAGGATATGCATAAAGGAAGGGGTCCTTTCCAAAAGCTGGTTGCTATTTCTGCTTCTTGGTCTCTAAAGCATGGAGGCTCTTTCCTTTTAGTATGTGTAACCGCAAATATATTCTTTCTCATTACAGTTCTAATCTAAGTAAATGGGAATCCTTCGATTCATATTAATGAGTTTTCAATATAATAATAAAAAAACCCCTCTTTAACAGAAAATAAGGTTATATCTTCTCACAGCAAAGAAATTAAAACACCCACTGCACAGCCTAGAAGAAAAAGATACTTAAGTTTGGTCTGCCTAACTTTAAACTGTCTTTACCTACAGCCCTTAGCTCTGTACTACTGGGTCACTGTAAAAATGCGGTGTTACTGAGTTTTCATCTCTGAGGCTGGTTAGAAATCAAGAAGAATTGGGTTTCCCAGCTGCAAGACTTGCCCCATGTCTGAATCAGATATTGTACCTAAATTCCATCCTTGAGGGTAAAGTAGTAAAATGAAAGCTCTCAAACACATGGCCATTGCATTATATTCTCTAATATGGCTGGCTAGCAGTGACCCCAAGTCTGTTGCATACCCCAGCAATGCCATTCCAGCAGCCTGTGTGGAGATTAAAACTTCTACGAAGATAGAAAATTATATGTTAACACATCTAGCTGTGCATGCATTCCAACTGTATATAGTGCTTTGATACTGTGAGTTTGACCATTATCACTCATCATTTTTGACTGGTGTATAACTGGATACGTTTATCCCAGTTTGGCGCCAAGATTCTGTCAGAGGTTTTTTTTTGTCTCAAAACCTTGAGTGCCAAACTGCAAATTATTTTAAAAACCTGAATGGCAAGAATATAATCACTGATTACTTCTTTTATCAATGTATGTTGAGGTATGTAATAACCTAGAAATCCTAATATCAGGGTGTTCGGTCAAATATCACAAATTAAGTAATTCCCAGAATACTGCACAGAATCTCTAAACTTGAGCTCTGTAAGATCCCACGTAAATCTAACATAGATGCTCTGGACTTTTGCATTTTGACATTTAAAGCCAACAAATACATTGATAAAGTACCTGGGCATGTGATGGTGGGAGTCCTCTTCTTATATAAACACCAAAAAGAGCATCCTTCCCTAAGGATATGTTGAACTTCAGGAACTGTGGCTGGCTGATATGGATCTGAGACCGCCAAAAAACTCCAGGGGGCACTTCCTGCGTGACCCTGCGGCCAACTTCTGCTTCTCCGCTATCTATGCTGCTATTCCTAGTGACCCATGGTCCTATAAAATAAAAGCAAATATAAATAAAATGAGGTAACTTCTTTTAATACAGGTATTTTTATTCATTCAAGATGAACACCTGTGTCAATGCCACCTTTTAAATCAAACCGTAACTTTCCTTTCTTACTCTGATGCAATTTGCCTGCTGTTTCAATCAGTATGTAAGAATTTGGCCCCTAAGTTTGAAGAAGGCTGTGAATCTCTTTCTGTGGAGCATCTGCAATCTTCTAATCCCTCCAACCCTTTAATTCTGCGATTGCTCTTTACTGATCAAATATAGTAACAGTAGAGAGTCAATTAAGCACATACAAATCTCCCCGTGCTCTTTTCAGCTGCATCTCATATGCAACCAGGGTATAAAAAAATTATCTGAAAGGTGAACTGAAGGGGCAACTTCAATCTAAATGAACTGATTGCAAATTTTTTTTGCCATTGTTTTTTTTTATAGTAAAGTAGTCAAATAAACTCCAGGTCATAGACAAGAGAGTTGACAGAAGAAATGAAACGCACAGAAAAGGATTTAGAGGACAGTGTCTGTACTCTAACGCGCACCTTCTCCCTCTTGAAAGAAAGTTAGTACAACTCAGTGTGCTGCCTTTACGCTCTCCCTGCCCGAAGCAGACACTATCTACAAGTCTTTCTCCCTTGTGCTGTGGTTAGTTAAAATCCAGCATTTGATGGTTCTCCAGCATGCATTATTGAAGAAAAGACACAAGACCTTTCTGGTTGAGTGCTCTGGCTTCTAGCCCATGAAATAGTCAACCTTCAAAACATGGTGCAAATCCCTTCTGTTCTCAGCTGAACAGGATGGTTCTGAGGCTACACATATTTTAAACATGGAGTGCAATACGTGAAGCGTTCGCAGTGCTTTCAAGCTACAGTATGTAGCAATGTTTGATTTTGTGTTCCATATTCCCAAACAACGCGGGGATAAATCCATTTAAAAATTATTGCAACAGACACTATAAAGACCAGAAAAGCACAGGTAATCTCTGTTAACAATCACAGAAATGTACAGGTATCATGAATATAACTATTAATACACACTGGATGGTAGTGATCTCTCTGATACAACCTGACAGTATTTCTTAAAAGCGCGATGTTTACTTCACGTTTTTTTCATGGTGTAATGCTTTTTTCAGTAAGTGGCAAGTTACTTTTGAAATATATTTCAGCACTGTATGAATGAAACAGGGTGGCATAGAATGACATATAATTCCGGCAGGTAAGTACATAACAGCTTTTCTGTCTTGACTATCTTTAACTGAGAGCTGCAATAGCATGGTTTCAATTATAGATTCCAAATTATCTATGTTAGGAGCACTTAACTTGTACATAATGAAACAGATATTATGTTAGCAGTGTTTTGAAATGGTAAAAGAATGCTCTGAATACCAACTGCTATACAGTTTTTGGCAACTTGTTTGTTTTTTCATTTTCTATGTTAATGGGTCTACAATAATATCACAGCACTAAGAAAAAAATAAAGCAGAAGAAGCTGCAAAGACAGGCTGCAAAGAAAGGAAAAATGGCTGAGAATGTCACGCAATGTACCTTTAAAGCCACCCAATAACACAGACATATCAATCAGATTCAAACATGTAATATTTTATGAAAACTACATGATTTTATTTCTAATGGATCACTGCAACAGATGATATCTCAAATTTCCTACCTCGATGAAGTCAGGCACCATCTCACTAGAATTTAAATTAGTCCGTAAACCACATGGATAGGAAAACCAGGCACATAAAATCCCCTATTGAATGCTATACTGGAATCACTGGCAGAGCTGGGAAGTCAGTCTAAGGCTGAGGGCTCCTTCATCCCCTCTGAGTACAACATTACACTTTGTTCACTTCACAGTTCCAAATTATGGTAATAAATGCATTTTTTTCAACATTCTTAAAAAGTGTGCTGTAAATTTTTTCTGTGGAGGTAGACTGTGCATACTTAAATGAACACGAATGGTATCTAATCTGAGAACAGACTCTGTGATGCACTCTGAAGAACCATGTTCTTCACAATCAGTATATGCATAGTCAAAGTGAAACAGTCAAAGAAAAAGCTATTTCCAGGAAGTTTTACTGTAGGCATTATTATTATGATAAAAGCCGTATAAGTAATAAAGGTGAGAAGATTAACAGACCAGTGCCTCCTTCAGTATTCTGACTCTGTCCACAGACTCCTTGTACTCCATGAATTATCTGCATTATATATTTTTTCAATGTGGTTAATTTCATGACTACAATAAAGCTGCTCAAGTCCACAGAAGCTAATGGAAATCTTTGACATAAAGAATACTGAAGTCAGTTAAGTGTAATTTATTTCTGAAATCCACACATAAAATAGGTGGGAATCTGGAGCTTAGATCTATTTCAAATCAGAAGCCTCCCCCTCATGTTGGAATCTGCTACTCATTTAGTTTCTTTTTAAATAATACTTTATATTTTTTAAAACTCTCTCTGTGTGTGTATGTGTGTATATATATATATAAAATACTTTATACTTGTTATCCAGTTCTAGAATTCAGTGGAGCAGTGGTCGCGTACATTCAGAGATACGGCTTGCATTAGCTGCACGAATCTAATATTCCAATTAGTTAAAAAATAAGCAGCTTATAGTCACTTACCTCATGTAATAAACATATATGTATAAATATATATATATATCAGGGCCATTAAGTACTGAAACAGCACACGTAAGTAGCCTGTGCCACAGAATAAGTTTTAGAAAAATGAATCTTTGTCAAAACATTTTAAGAAGTGATGTGGTGTTAGAATACCCTCACGCATACATCTGCTTTACAAATTACGGAGTCGTGTGTTTTTCACCTACAGCAAATAGAGATTATAGTGAATATTGGTTCAGGCATTGTACCCCACTTTTACCCAGTGCAGCAAGTTTACTGAGCAGGCAAATGGCAAGGCCACCATAGTCTCTGTTGGAGATTATGCTTTCATTAGCTATTAAAGCAGTTCCAAAACACCACCATCAATTACTTTTTCTAATTACATTGCTTCCAAGTCTGCTGAGTATATATTGTCTCGAATTATAACTTTGCAAATAAATTTAATTCCTATGGAGGCTCAAGTTTTAGTGTTTCTGGTTGAATTTAGCCTTAGCCTCCTTTGGTTTTCCAAAATTCTGTTTTCTGGAAAAGGGCATTTTTCAGGAGTCAAGAATCCTTGAATATATCAATTAGGCTAAAAAGAGAATATTCCAGTCATAAAGAGACCCCAGGGTTACATTACATTCACATTACTTCAGCAAGCACCTCAAAGGTAAACAAATATATTGGCTGTGAAACTTTTACAACAAAAAGTTGTCAGAAAAAGACCGTTCTTTTATATTTCTCATGAAAATTTTTAATTTTAATTTTTTCAAGTTGTTAGCTTGAAAATTGGTGAAAACTGCAGATGAGACAAGTGAATTTGTAACTCTCAATCAGCCTAGAGACATGATTCAGGTTTCTAATACTGAAATGATTCAGCTGAATTTGGCATTGTCTTTGGAAGTATCTCCCCATAGATGTTTTTTTTTTGCTCTACGATATAAATGATCTGGTTTCTAGTTGTCCAAACCACTCCTTCTGGAACACTGCAGTGTCTCAGGAAAATCTGCCTAGGAAGAGAACTGTGACAGCTGTAGGGGTTCAAAACAGCAGAGGATTTTAAGAGCAGGTTAGATGAGCAACTATCACAAGTGATCAGGATATACTTAACCTACAACAAAGAATGGAATGGATGGATGACCCCTTATTTTCAAGTTTGTATTTCTGTAGCATGGCATGCCTCTGCTCTACATCCAGCCCATGCCATGTCTGTGAGAAACAGCTGCTGCCTCACCTCCGACATGCTGAAAGGGATCCTTATTTTTGCTTTTAAGAACTTAATACATGAGATTGTGTTTTTATGGCTCTACATTACAATGCTGAAATAACACAATTTAGAAATGCCTGGAGTTGTACTAAAATGTAAGTTTTACGTCTGCAAGTTTAACTAACAACTCAAAAAGTTTTAAGTCTAGCAGGCTATCAGAGCTCTAAAGATTATGCATTATTGAATCATAGACTCATAAATTACTGCTGAGCTACTCTTGTTGG